CGCGGGGCCGGATGCCCGGGGCTGCCTCGGAGAGGAAGAGGCAGTTGAAAGCGAAAGGGGAGCGGCTGTCTGGCGTTGCCTAATCAGAGAAATCTGTGTCTCGTGGGCTCACACCCTGCTGGCCTCTTGTGAGGAAACTGGGGGGGCCAGAAAACCAGCGGGCAAAGAGCCACGAAGGTGCCCAGCAGCCTTCATCCCATGCCCACCCACCCGTTTCCCACCCAGACCCCATCGACTCCAAAGCTCACCACGGCAGCGGCACTTACAGGGACGATCCTGGCAGAACCGTTTCCACCAGCAGAAACGTCCCTCTGCTCAGGCCACGTCTGTCCTCTCGAGGAACCGGCACCAGTCGGACTGGCCAAACACTGCACCCACGTGAGCCTTCACAGCCACCCTGGGGAAGGGTTATTTGGCGTAGACCAGAACTGAGGAAGAGGAAGAAGAGGAAAGGAGAGGGAGGTGAACATGGAGGGGGCCCAGGGAGCAGGTGAGGGGGATGCAGAGCGCTGATGAGGATGGAAGAGGGGGCAGCGGCATCTCTGCAGCATTGGATGCAGCTGCTGGGGGCCCTGAGCTGTCCACGGGTGTCTTTGCCCTCTCACCCTGATTGCCCCCAACCCTGCAGGGCTCAGAGCGTTGTGCTGGGACATCTGCAGGTATGGGGGGGCTGCAAGGGCCAAACTCACCCCATAGGAAAGGGGGACACACACCTACAGGCTTTGCAGTTGGATTTGATTAGCAAAAGATGCCTTTCCCTAAACTACTGTAATGCTCCTCTTGTTTCCATCATTCACCTTAGATCCTGGTGCTTTTGTGAGCACCTGGATGGTTTCTGCACCCCCAAGCCTGGCTGGAAGCCCCAGTGACACTTCGGTGTCAGCCGGGACCCACCCGCCTTTCCCTCTGGGCAATCTGTTTCCCCTTCTGAAACCACCAAGTTCCACCTTTAGCGTCTGATCGATGCTGGGGATTTACGGCTGACTCAGGCACTCGGGGCTGTGATTTTTCTGCGGGAAAAAAGGTCGTGGAGCAAGGGGATGTCGGGGCAACAGGCCAGCTCACCCAAAAAATGTGGAGATTCACTGTGTGAATTTGCAGCATCCTTCCTCTCCAAATTCCCTAAGGCCTCTTATTGAGAAAGTTATTCTTCATCCCCTCTGACCCTCCCAGGCCTCAGCTTTTTCCCCAAACCTGGTAAACCGAGTCTCTGCAATACAATATTTACAATGTCCTACCCCAAAGCAGGTGCCTTTCAGCCTTACAAGGAGTTAAACAAAAGACCCCAGGAAGCAGAGTGCTGTCACAAAAGGGGTGTGTGAGGTGTGGAGGGCTGCAGGGTGATGCTGCTGGGGCTGGTCTGGGGGAATAAAAGGCTGCAGGTGCTGAGCATGATGGTGCTTACTGGGGAATGTGGCTGCAAGGTCTCTGGGGGCTGAGGCTGCTGCAAGGTAAGGGCTTTTCTCTTCTTCTTCCCCGATCCTTGTTTTTGCTGTAAATATCTGTAGTAAGGTAGGAAGTTGTGGGCTTGCTGGTTAGTTATCTCTGGCTCTTTCTGTTGTGGAATGGCTTGGTTGCTGCATTTGTGACCATGGTGGGGCTGAACGTGCCGCCCCGTGTGGGGTCACGCCAGCTCCATGCTTGTGCTGCTCGGAGAGGTTTGTGTGCCGGGTGCTGGGTCACTGCTGGGAGCGATACTGCTTAGAGCAAAGGTGTGAAACCTGCCTCGCTACTCTGTGCTGTGCTGGGGGTGAGGGCGAGAAAGGCTTCTGTGCGTGCTGAGGGGTCTGTCCTTCTGTTGTGTGTGCGTCCTTCAGATCTTCAGGTCTCAAAGACAAAGGCTGGGAGCTTCCCGTTTGCAAAGGTGCAAACAGAAACAGGGAGGGCACAAATTAAGTGTTCCCCCATGCATCTGTCCCCCACCTTTCTGAAGAAGAGAAGGCTGAAAGGGAACCTAATAAATGTTTATAAATATCTCAAGGGTGGGGGTCAGGTGGATGGGGCCAGACTCTTTCCAGTGGTGCCCAGTGACAGAACAAGGGGCAACGGGCACGAACTGAAGCAGAGGAAGTTCC